ATTGCTAAGCAGTTTTCATCTAGCAGTATTGTAACAGCACCCAGTTAGAACTGGCCTATAGTAGTGTCTAAGAGATGGTAAATGAGCACTAACATATACACTCAGGTTTGAATGACTGCTCACTGAAACCTGCTCCCAGCAGGCAAAGCCCACCACCAAACCTCTGCCATGTGAGCACAGTGCTGCTGCACCAGGCTCCCACAAGAGAAATGTGCCAACGCCTCACAGAAAAATTGTAAGATGCTACTCGCAGTTCCAGCACAACACAACAGCAGAAAACCTTGATTGTGAAAACTATTCCTTGTGATAATGTGTCAGCATTACATTCTGTATGAATTCCCATTTAACCACAATTTCTGTATGAAAATACACTTTCAGTGATATAAACAGAAGTAATCAGCAATAACAAAACATATTGTCTGACATCAGTTGATACCAAATGTTTAGACATTTTAGTGGATACCTGCCTCATTTTTTGTTTTAGCTGTCACTTGGTAGGATTGTTACAGATTTTATATTTCATCTCTGCTGATTCTCAAAATATCTACCATTACTATGTCCTAAGGGAGGCTATTGATTGCTCATTCTTGCCTATTTTATACAAATAAAGCTAGATTCCAGCTCATAAAAATATGGTAAGATCTCCAAAGATAAAGAGTTAAGGGGGATGTACATTACCAGGCTTGAGAGTTGAGCATGTGCAAACCTCAAAAAGTCCAACAAGTACTGTCTATTCAAGCTAGCATTTAACACTTTAAACCTGAACAAACAAGCCTCAAAACCCGTAAGAAACAGCCTGATTTTATTACAATGCATAGCTAGAAACCTGTATTTACTGTCAGCAAGCTGTAAGACTTCCTCTAGAAATTGCTCTACATCTGGGCTAATAATTGAAGTACTGACAGTAATATTGTAAACAGATGATCCAAATAATACACACAGAGAAAATCTTCTGCTTTGAGATGTATTTAAAAAAGCAGCTGTTCTGAGGCTATACAGATATATTCCATAAGTAACCATATAGTCTTGGAATTTGCTGTCAGTTTAGGGATGAGCAAATAAACATTTTCCTTTACTGTTTAAGGGCAAAGGCAACCACATATTTCTTTGTTATTTAATTTAGAATATTTCTTCAACCTTAATGAAACTGCAGCTAATGTACAGATGCAAAGACAAAATCTCTAAATCACAGAATTTTTGATTGCAATTTGACATCTAACTTCTCTTTATACTCTCACTTGCATGAGACATCAACACAGCAGGTATTTAGCCTCTATAAAATAGGCTTCAACTAAAGCTGAGTTAACTAAGGGATAGTGATTAGAACTTTTTTTCTTAGTGAAAAAACTAAAGAGTATAATGAGAGCACCACATGAACAATTGAAACTTTATGCTTGAAGTCCTTGTGGATCAAGAGCTTTTTTTCATCAAGTTGAGCTGATTCCTACTCCACACAGTATTTCATCCATTGTCATTTTAATGCTGTGGATCACAGAGGAAGCAACGAGATAGAGAATTTACATAGAACAGAGCCATTTTATGCCTTCAGCAGTTACTTTCACATACAAATGTGGAATTATATAAGGTTGGCATTTGGATGCAAAAATGTTCTCTTACCACTTCGGCAAACAACAGGGAGATTTCTGTAATTTTAGAAGATTTGCTGGCTGGTTGGCTGGCTGCAGGGATGCCACTCCTGGAGGGGAGCAGCTCTCACACATCTGTGACAGAGCTGAATGTAGGTGAGTTCAGAAACAAAGCCTATACAGAGGAGGCAGTGTGCTATAGTAACAGCAGCCATTCTAGTTATCAGAGCATTGCACAAACACTAAAAAAGTTGTTTTAAAACTAATTCACTAGTCTTATCATGTGTATATCTGCAACTTCAATGAGTCAAGCATATATTTCATTCCTCTTTTAGTGTAAAGAAGAATAAAAACCCTCAAAACCAACCTTCTTGAAGCTTCTTAACCCTGACTTCCTCCAAGCCCACCTAAAAGGCAAACTCAGGAAATCTCCTTTTTCAAGTAAACACATCCTACCCAAAGGTGAACTATCAGGGTAGATACCAACAACTGGAAAATAACTGAAAGTCTGTTTTTCTTCTTTGCACCATTTGGAAATAATCTCCATCTGGAGACAGCATGAACTTAATTTTACAGAGGCGTCCTCCTCAACAAACATACCAGTATGTTTACCACAATAAATAAGCATCTTGAGGAATTATTCTTACTCTGCACTTAGCCAAACAAAGGCTAACTCAGGCAACATCATCCTTTGATTACATTCAAATTCATGTAATTTCCTCTCTTTTCTCAACTCTTGCCATCTCAAAAAGCAAAAGGTTTTTCTGATTCTTACAACAGTAACTATCCTATCAGCTGTGTTCCCTTTCTATGCTGTCCTGCTTCATGGGAGCTGCAGTTTCCCTGGCTTATTCTATTCTTTGCCTTAGACCAATAACCTTCACTGAACAACATCCAACATGTCCCTTAGAGGGGAATTAATCTCAGGGTACTTTTTTCTTTTCTGAAATCTGCAAATTCTGTACTGTCTGTAACACTGATTAGAGCTGAACTCAGGATCTGATACCCAACACAACACTGCAAACCAGAGCTATGGGAAAGGCTCAGAGCCCACAACAGCTCTGGGCAGTGTGGAAGGCCAGGTACCTGTACTACTTAACATATTGGATAACCTGGTACATGATCCATGAGGAGGATGCTACTGCAATTAGCAGGGTCATTGTGATCTAGCAAGTGCTGCCTCTTTCAAGATCAGAAGAGAAACGCAAAGAAAAATGCAAAGGAAGAAAAGAGAATACGCAACAATTCAGTCAGTTCTTTGGTCCTTTCCTGCCAATAGATTTAGAGCCTGTTTCATCTTCATGCAATGGACTGCATCTTGCTACTTGAAGTTAGGATGCATGGAACCGTTTTGAAAAGTGTTTCCACTTTTCATTTTTCCTGTTTTGTATTCAATTATTTCCTTCCTTTCTTCTTCAGATTCCCTGAATTCCTACAGAGTTCTCACATGGCTTATTCACTCTTACCCCTAGATCTCACCTGTGCTCATTTTCTGTATCATTGCTCTCACCTCCACATTTCTTCCTCAGTAACTTTTTCCTGTAATTTTAATCTTGCCTTTTCTTCAGTAGGTTTTGTAATCAGTCTTGACTCAGTAGATCAGAGCAGAGTTTCTATGCTATCAATGTACAAACTGAACCAGAATACAAGTCCTTGTCACAAAGCTTATACAGCATATATTGAACTTTATAAGTACTTAATAGGTATGAACTATGACACCAGTTCAATGACTGTCACTGAGTAATAATTAGGGTCACTGGTAAGTTGATAGAATCATAGGATTGGTTAGATTGGGAAAGATCTTCAAGGTCCTCGAGTCCAACCATTACCCAGCACTGTCAAGTTCACCACCCTGTCTCTAAATGCCACACCTACATGCCTTTTAAACACCTCTAGGCATGGTGGACTGATTCCACCCTTTCCCTGGGCAGCCTGTTGCAATGCTTGACAAGTCTTTTCGTGAAGATGTTTTTCCTAATATCCAGTCTAAACCTCCCCTGGTGCAACTTGAAGCCATTTTCTTTTAACCTGTCACTTGTTACTTGGGAGAAGAGACTGATCCCCACCTGGCTACAATCTCCTTTCAGGTTGTAGAGAGTAATAAGAGCCCTCTGAGCTTCCTTTTCACCAGACTAAAAAGCCCCAGTTCCCTGACTTGCTGCTCACAGGACATGTTCAGTAAACCCTTCATCAGCTTCATTATTCTTCTTAGCATGTGCATTTAAGGTAAACCTTTTCAAGAAAGTAAGAGCCTGCCGAAGAAAATCGTAACTTGCTCAAGATGCAAAACATTCATTTGTTATGGTACACAGAAACCCCATCATCCCAATATTATTAAAAACATTTTCTACTTTTACTCCTTACTTTGAAAACAAGAAAAGGAAAGGCCAGGTTGGATGAGGCTTTGAGGAATCTGATCTAGTGAAAGATGTGCCTGCTCAGGAGTTGGAACTAGATGATCCTTAAGGTTGCTTCCAATGCAACTCATTCTATGAATGTATGACAGTGTGGCTTAAAAACCTACACCTGCATCTGAAGGCTTCCACAGTAATTTTCCAGGAAGTTGTTCTTGCAAAACAATTACTTTGAATCAATAAAAAAAGCAAGGAAAGGACTAAGAAGGGTATTACATAGTATTACTGCATAGTAACTTGGAAAGGAAGCTATCAAGCCAGGAAAGACTGAAATCTCACTCATTTCTGACTCCCAAGAGCCACTATGAGTTATAAGAAACCATAAATCCTCCTGTTGAGGAACACATTCAGTGCAGGTAGCAAGGTCAGCAGCTGCAGTGTGAGGTGCAGGTTGAGCTCAGGGTGGTAGGAGCCCCAGGCAAGAGGCTGAGAAATGCCATCCTTCGCACAGGAAAGGGCCTGGGGACCTGTGGCAGCACTGGACATTCAGGGATGAGGCAGGAGCTGAGGACCCCCAGATTCCGTGTGCTGGGCCCGTGAGGGTATAAAAGCCCAGGAGTTCCTTTGTACAAGGTTCCTCATCAGAGGCAGCAGCTTGAGCTGTTATTTTGTTGTTGCACCAAGTTTAAATTATTTTAAAGACTGAGACATGTGAGACTGTGCTATGGGAATCCTGGGGCCAGGGAGTAAAGGAACCTTGTCTGACTGTGTGGAGTCAAGCAGGGCAACCATGGGCTCACTGGAGCTGCCTGCTTTGAAGGGGCTTCAGTCCCAGCTCAGGTGCTGTGGGTGTGCCTGCCAGAGTGGCATCTGGATGGTTGGACAGAGAAGTTTCCTTAACACTCCTTGAAAATGTGGAACAAAACAGGCTAATTTTCAAGTTTGAAAATGCTGCATCATGTACTTTTGATCTGATTTATGATCATGAGGAGTTTCCCAGGAGATTAGGTTTTTAAACTTTTCTACTTATAGAAATGCATGCTAGACAAGCCATGACAAATCCAAAAATAGATATGTACTTTACTATATCTTAAAAAAATAAAGAATTAGAAATACAGGAGAACTTGTAAACCAACTGCAAAATAAGAGGCACGGAACTGAGGAAAATGCCTCCATATTGTACAGATGTTCATGCACTAGGCAGTCCCAAAGTCAGCCACAGATTCTCTTATGTACATAAGCCTAAACACAAGTTGCAACATTTTATTACTGTATATGTTTTTTTTTTTTAATTATCTGAGACTGTCTTAGCTCCTCAGTCCCATGGGCATATGGACAAGCTTCAGAAGGTAAAGAACAACCATCAGGATGATGAATGAAAAACCAACAGAGGCGTGTTTTAAATGCTTCAGCTGAAAGGCGCCGTTTCACTTCAGGTTTAGTTTTACTTGGTGGTTTCTCTTTTCTCCAGTCACGAATATGAACTCTTCCATTTAGAACTAAGATTTAAAAACAAACAAAAATGCAGCTGTTAGTAGACAGCCATGGCAATTATACTGGAAAAAAAATTGCAGTCACTTGCTGTGAATAAAAAACATTCTATGAATGGATCACTCAGGCAAAACCAGATGAGCCATTTGCACCGAAACAGAAAAAAGTACACAACAAACCAAGACAATGTAGACACCATACAAAGAAGACTTGACTGATTTCCCTGAGGGATGTTTGACTGGAATGCTGAATACTTTGAGGCACCTTTGCATCATCTTTGTAGAAGTTTATTAGTTCATTTTAAATATAGCAGTTGGGATCATTTAGACTAAACTTAGATTAAAAGTTTTAACAAAAGAAGTTTCAACTTCAAGAACTGTAATTCTTTCCATGTCTGTAATTTTATGATTCCACATTTAGAATGTGATTACCAGCAAGTGTCTTCTACTACTTTCACAGTTCACTGACCCAAAAACACACTGCACCGAGGAGATGACAAGTCTAATCCTTCATAAGAACCGACACTGAATTATCATTGGTTAACAAGGATTCAGCGCTTTGAGCTTTTAAAATTTATTTACTGTGTTAGGATCATAAACTGCACATACACACACTTGTGAATCTCTGTCAACTGCTTAAACAAGTAAACAAAAGAGATGAAAGGAAGCTAGCCAGAGAGGAAGAAAAAAAACAGATGAGAGCAGTGAAGAGGGAAGAATTTGCCTCTTAAGTTACCATGTTCTATTTTCATATTCTGCTTCAATCACACCTTCTGTATTGGACACTTGTACCTTGGCATAGTTAAGCAGTACCATTCTGCATTTGATAACTGCTATTCAAAAAGTAACAAGTACAGTGAAAGCTGAATATCACATAGTGTGCACTGGATGAATTAATGTCTCCAGTTTTCCCTTGTGATACACAGACAGATCTGGATTCATACTAAGCCAATCAAGAAGCAAATTTTAAAATCTCTTGCAAAAGACAAAGAAAAATTAGCAGCTATTTATGCCCAAGCATATTTTTTCCCTAGAAAAATCAGTCTTATATTGGGCAAGATACCTGATCTAAAGAAAACACCACCGATCAGTTATTCTAAGACCCACTTTTTGTTTGGTGTGTGTGTCTACATCCATCCATTTCCATGTTTTAAAAGAAAAACAATTCAGTAAAGACGGCAAAAGAGCTGTAGCCATGTTCTTCTCTGTCCTCCTGGACAGGAGCAGGAGAGTTTCTTGGTATGGTGACATGCTACTAAGAGAAGAAATCACATGGTCTCTCCCCAAGCCCGGGCGAGTATCCTTGTGACATAAATTACTGAGATAGATCTGACTTAGTCTAGTCTTTCTTTATAGGTAATGTGCACATGGCCTCCAAGACAATTTAAAACCCTCATTCCATTTACAATGTAACACGTCGCAAAACCTATTTCACATATCCCTAATGATAGGGAGTCAAATTCAGACACATAACAAACTCCATGCAACCAACTCTTTTTAATGGATGGTAATTCAGGAGGATTTTATAAGCCAAGTGTACAGAAATCTTTAGTGGATGCTGAACTTGCTTAAGATGACAACTGGCAACAAACAGGTTGCATATTCAGGATTACTTGATCAGTATTTTACAGGAGACACAGAACTGTTAGGACATAACACACTTCGAAATTTGAAGCAGCTTTAATATTGATAAAATCTTGAAGATCTTGTATTACTGCAAAGCTACATTTTGATTTTGCAAAATTTCACACTGACAAAAAAGCCCCAAACCAATTACACAAAGCACACTATCACCACACATGACAACAGGGGGAAAAAAAACCAAAACAAATCCAAAAAACTGCTATCAACAAACCCAGCCAGCCACAGAGACCTGCTATTGAGTTCCTTCTGCCATGCTACCACAAGCTACATAAACACATCAAGCCCCACGATTAGAGGCTCTTAAGGAGGCTAATTTTGTTTCATGTCAGCATTTACACTTTGGAGCTTGGTACAGTCACACTAAGCCTCAGTTAAATGCTTTAGTAAAATTGCTCTGTATTTGACAGCCTTAAAGCCAGGAAGAAACAAAAATAAAAGGTCAAAGAATAGCATCAAATTATCCACTTAAACTAAAGGTTTGTCTTTTCAGATACAGTCAGTGTAGAACATTTTGCTGATAGACACTTCATCAATTTCATTCATGAGAGCTTTACTAACAATATCTTGGAGCAATGGGCACATACAGGATATTCAGCTTTCCACAAAGATACAAAAAGCAGTTAAAAAAACCACCACCATAGTAATTTTTCAGTTAAGTTTAACTGAAGAGGAGACAGAATAAATTATTAAGGAAAACAAAAATCAAAACTCAAAGCTCCTTTACCTTCAAATACTTGATGATTGTTCTTAAGTAGTGTCTGCAGGCCTCCATATTCACTTTTCAGCCTTTTTAAAGTCTCTTTATTCAAGTGTTCTGCTACTTCTCTCAAGGAAAGGCTTTCTGCAAGGAAAAATGGTAGAATTATTAAAAAATTTTATATATAAAACCTTAACACATTTCAACTTCTATATGAGGTAATGATATGAGCAGAATGTCGGAATTATCTACCAGTAGTGCAGCAACCTTTTTCTCCCAATATGATATATATTTTACATGCATATTGTCTGTAAAACAGCAGCTTTTATTTAACAGGACTCAGGTCAGAATTTCCACAGTAAGACACACTTTTTATTTGCTCTGCTTTTTTTACAGTAGCATGTAACCCTTATTGCAATAAGCACTGTTTATAAGCATGTAGTTAGAAGATTCAGTCAGTAACAATATGACAGACTAGTGAGTAAATAATAAAAACAGATGGAAGAAAATGGAAAGATGGTAGTAGTGAGAACTGACTACTTATACAATTAACAGCAGCTTAACATTCTTTTTGTTTCTAAAACAAAAATTCTTGATGATGTTGTAACCTAATGGCACTTTGAAGCACTTCTTACAAACTCTTACAGAATTGTAGCTACTTACTAGGTTAACATTCTAAACCATAGTATTCTCTCCAAACAGAGTAGAGTTGTGAGTTTGTTTGGTTTAATAAAAATGGATTCTGTAATAGTATTTAAGTGTAAACCAGGAAAAAAACTCACAGCAATTTCAAAATATTCTTCTATGTGCAATAAAACATAAGTGGAAAACAAAGCACCTTTGATTACGACTGTACTGTTCTCAGGGTTACCTAAAATTCTATTCACACACATGTGAATTTGCCGGGAAAGACAATGTTATACAACTAGAGTAAGTGTAAAGCAAAGATAACCTCACCTCCTTGATTCCAGGTATTCATATTTCCACCCTGCTTATCAGAACATGATTTCTGGGGGGCTACATTTAACAGCAAGTTCGCCACATTGAGAACCACTTCATCTACAAAATCCCGAGGGAGGGAAGCACAATTTCTGATTTGTTCTACTTTTTCTCTGGGTTGAAATCCAGGCATCCAACTTGTACCAGCTGTCTCAGTCTCGTCTTCAGGAGGTTCTGAGTCTGCTTCTTTGCACAGACCACCACAGTGATTCTTATGGTTAAAACCAACCCTTCTGTCACACGTGGCCACAGCACAGCTACGACGACTGTTAATAAACTGTGTTATCTGCTTGTCAATCAGAGCATGTTCTGCAGCTGGATAGGTCCTGCTTTTCCCAATAAGGCTGACCTATTTTAGATGAAACAGGGAAATCACTATCAGAGTCCCATACTTACACCCAGCCCCACACCCTCCACGTGTTTATGCAGGCTTCTCAACACCTACAATAAAATCCAATACCAACCCAATGCTCAGTAACACCTGAGGATGTTACTGTTTTAATTCTAGTCTTTGAATATTGGTGCCCCAGAAGAAATCCAGTAAACAAATCATAATCCACCATGCTACACAATCACACAGCAAAAATATTGTTCTTGACCCTCAGATTATTTAAAGCTAGACCCCTCTTCCTACTCTAAGAACATTTCACTTTGAATTTCACTGGACAAGAAAAACAGCAAAATTAAGTACAAAAAAGTAAGGCAGGCAGTTAGAAAAATTAAGGCAAAAAATATGTTTAAGTTTTCTATCATATAAAGTGATACAAGAGAAAATAATGAAGTTGTTTTTTTCTGTTTTATCACTGTACCTATGACATTAAGAGTAGAATTCCCAAGAAAACTGAGTATTTTTAATCTCTTTTCAGAGCATACTGTAACAGATTAAAAAAAAAGCCCTACAGAGGCCAAAATTACCCTTTTTGTTGACGGAATTCTAAGGCAATCTTCTTCCACATGAAAGCCACATACGAAGCCCACTTGGGCAACAAAATCAAGATATTCCCTGTATTGAGTTTTCTTGCTTTGTCTTCGGATGTATTTCCCATGGAAATCAAAGAAGCAGCATGGCAGCACGAAGTAGCAACATGAATAGGAAGACCTACAAGAAGGAAAACAAATTGCTGAACAGTAAGTTATTTCAGAAAACACAAAAATTTAACAAACAACCTATCAGATAAAAGCAACAATGGAAATTTTTATTAAGCAACAGAGCTTCATGCAATAATATTTATAACCTGCTCTTTCAGTTTAGTTTATTAGTTTAGTCTAAAATACCATTTCACAAAGTATTTGATGTAGCAACCTACTTTGCCAACTTACTTTGCAGAAGTAAAACTCTAAACTACTGTTGCTGGTTGCAAAGAGCACAGCAGCTCAAGGGAAGGCAGAACCATTAGCTCGTATTTACAAGGAAAAAAAACACAACAAAAAACCAAACAATAGCTTCATGTACAAGGAATAAAAAACCGTTTTGGTTTTTGACTTTCAAAAGCAAAACGCTGCACTGAATTCTATGAGAAAGTAAATACTGCATCTGTGCTTCTCCACAGCAAGAGAAACACTGTAAAAATAAACAACTTGCAACAAAAGTAGCCAGTCTTAAGAACAACAGGTGTGGAACCTAAGCTGACAGTTTTTACCAAGCCCACATAGGTAATTATAGAGTGGTTGTTTGTGGTTTTTTCTGCCTCCTTGTTTTTTTAATTCCTTCCATCCCACTCCCCTCCCTCTGCAAAAATACCTAGCTGCAATCACAGGTATCCATGGTGTCAACTCATCTGAATGGTTTCCTATGAGCCAGTCAGTATCTGGAAAGAGATGACTGTCACCGGGAATGATAGTAGCTTCCTAAAAAGCAGAACAACACAGTAAATGAATCCTGTTACAGGTTTCTTTAAAGCATTTTATTTAAAGCACTAAGCAACAATATAAAGTGATACCAGCTGACAAACACAAGGTGAATGAGCACCACAGACACCAATGTTTTCTTCAGTTAGCAATTTTTTATAGCTACAGAAAAGTAATTAAGCAACAAACACCCACAAAGCATGGGTCAGAAAAAACGTGGAATAACTAAAATATCTAGCATTTAAATATAAATAAAAAAATATCATACACTAAAACATGATTTCTTTCCAATCTCCTTCTGTCACTTGTATGCCTGAACTCAGTTTTTCAGAAAGGCACTTAATTTGCTGTCTTGCAGCCTGTAGGACTCACACAGCAATTAATCAGAACTCAGCTTCATTGTTATTTTCTCCTTCACAGATGCTGTCCAAATCAAATCCCAGTATACAGAACACCACTCTGCACATGCTGTCATTCACATATAATGAAACAATAACAAACAAAAGAAAGCCCAAATAAAACCAACAGGATGAATTCTTCATACAGGCTAAATTCAAATGTTCTACAGTGCCTATAATGTTTGTGCCTCACAAATATGTTTTTTCACTTTGAACTAAGCTCAGCAGAGAAAGTACTGAAAGATACTAAGTTGACACTAAGGTGGTAGACATTCTTCCCTGAAAATGTGTATAAACATTAGAAGAATTATTGGGCAATTTTGAAAAAAATTTTAGATTTGAATTTCCACAGACCTTTAGGAAAAGTTCTGAAAATTACGCCCATAATCTCTTTTTATATCGAAAATACATGTTTTAAGAGCTTAAAATTCACAGGTACATGCAAAGCAGTATCTGTATAGGAATTAAAAAATAAAATAAAACAAAACTATTTATTAGGGAATTTCAGACTATCTTGGTTACTTTCCCAATCCCTCTTAAGGATCAATATGGTGATTGCTCACTTTCAGTTGTTCACTTTAGATACTACAGCTCATTTTTAGATATATATAAACATTTCTAGATAACGAATGTATGTAACAAGATTTTTTTTTGGCAGATTACTGGATGTTAAATTACCAAGCCTTTGTAAGTCTTTTCTTAAGGTTGCTTAAACACGTTACTCATACTTTACATTACATTACATTGATGCCAATTTAGGCATAGCATGAATTATCAGTGCCATACTGCCCATTTTGACAGTCACCCCTCATCAAATTTGTAATCACCATGTCTGCCAGCTGTTTGGATACACAGAGTGTCACCTGTTACATCCATTTATGTTGTTAGTACTGTACTGAACCACACAGGTGGAAACATCCACCCTGCAACTCATGCTGTAATAAAGATCAAAACAAAATTAACTTCAGGGGTAACAACAGGCTGTGAGCAGGTGCTTTTTCCTTCTATGGCTCCTATGGCTACAGGAGCCTTGCAAAATCATTTCACCCTTTCTGTTCACTGTCTAACTCCTACTAGCATAAATCCCATATATTTTTACTGTTTCTTTCTGGGCAGAAAAAGGAACATGTAACACAAAGATAAACAGACAATGCTGTTCAGCATGATCAGATGTGATTCAATACAGTACTACAGGAATGATGAAGCACCACAGCTTGATGTTTTGGATTGTTTGTTGAAGCTTTTCAGTAAGATCTGCCTGCAGACTGTAGCAAAGGAATATGGCAGTTTTGGTAACCTGTACCTAAAATGGCAGGGTGGCAAAGAGAAGGCCACACAACACTGAAACCACAAGTGGAAAATAATTTTACTGTATTGGGAGCTGACAATTTTTGACAGAATAGAGTAAGAAATTTTAGACCTGCAGAACAAGAAAGGAGGAACACCTCACCTCCAAAGGGCAACTGCTCATTGGCACCACGATTTAATAAGTATCAGATTTAAAATACATGGAAGCAAAGTGAATGTTCCTGTGCTCAAATTGTTCATAAAAATGCTAACATGAAACTTGAAATATAATCCCTTTTGCAGACTCATTTTCCTGTTCATTTTTGAAGGCTATTATTGCAATTATTTAGGTTGGCTCCTTTGAGGTTCATCAACAATTTTGCCCCAAAACAGAACATAGCACTAGAAGAAGCACTAGAAGGTCAGAATCACTTTCAAGAAAATATCCAAAATTATGAGTGGCTTAATTATCTTTATGAGTTAGTGGTGCAAACAAAGCTGCTTAATACTGATCCTCCAGTAAAAGGAAAGCTTGGTTCATGGTATGCATATCTGTACATGCAGTGACAATCATGCCAGTGGTTCTTGGCTGAGAAAGCAAGTTGCAAATATGCAAGGGTACAATACAATATTTTTTTCATAATTCCCTTTACAACTTACTTTACTCCCAAGGGATATGAGTAGCATCATACCAAACCCATGGGTCCCTTTAGACAATTGTCTGTACCCAGTATGCTTCCTTACACTTGCATCAATACAACCTGAAACAATGAACAAATGAATAAATGTACGTATCAGTAAGACTGACATACATTTGCATAATACCTCTAAATGGGTCTCTGGTCCATACATGTCCCATATTTTTCTTCTCCTCACATCAATTCCTCTGCCTGAATGCTGAAATATTTGAACAACAGAAAGATTCGATTTAAGTACTACTTTTAGCAGAAATTTTAAATAGGTTCAGTACATGTACATATTAACTTTGATTATTTGATTCATGCTACATTTTAGATACGTAACAAAATCCAGCTTTGCCCTTTCAGGCAGAAGTTGGATACTTCTATTCCCTTTCTTCCTTTTGAAATATGAAGGGAATTACTAAGAAACCTTAAAAATATATCTGTTTCAAAATTTTACCTGGGCACACCTACTGAGACTGCTCTTGAAAATCTGTATCACTACAAATGTGAAAGCAGAAGTGCTGACTTTTGATTTGTTTGTTTTTAATATATCAAAACCTTTCACAAGGTGAGTACTACCACAGTGCCCACAGGGCTCGGAGAAGAATGCTACTCTAAGCAGTCCTTAGTGGAGAACCACCTTCTAACTACTGAAGCCCAAACACTTTTCCCCTGATTGAATTAAAAGGAAAAAGAAATAGACTGGAAACTAAAGAAGGAAATGAAGAATGTGTAGTATTTCAAATTCAAGAACCTTGTGCAGAACTAAGCAAATAGATTACTAAAAAAAGTCTCATAAAACTCTCACTTTTTTTTGACAGTCAGTGTTTGTCAGCACTGAATGAAAAATCCACACAGAAAACAGCAGCTTATACTACACAAAAGTTTTCTGGCCACACAAGAATAGAAACCTTGTGCTAGGAGAACTTGCAACATTTTCCTACTCCCTCAATGACATCCCTTTATCTAATAAGAGATATTCATTTCCTCAATAAATTTTCCCATGCTCTTCCAAAAGTGGAAAATGCAATTTTCTGAAACAGACAGACCCAACTTAAATAGGTTTTGTTTAGTCTCACTTTTCTTTTGTTGCTATTTCAGAAACTATGCCTCAAGAAACTGAATTATGCTGTTGCCACATTTTTACTCCCAAAAGTACAGTATGCTGTTATGCATTTTTACTTAAGAAATCTCAGGATTGGTTTCAAAGATATAGAAAAACATTTTCAGGACATCACAAATAGAATTGAGTTTGGATAAAAATAAGTTCATAAACATATCTTGTGAGAGAGAATCTATGGAATAAAAATTCCACATTCCTTTTTGCATAATTAAAATACTCCATTACTCTTTCTTTTTCCTCTTAGTTTCTTACCTCAGAAAAAATAGTCCTGAATTTAAATGAAATACACTAATTAAGATAAATACATGAATGGTTTCTAAGCCTCTGGTAGGATTTTCTGTTAGTAACTAGAGTGCCAAAATCATGTTTTAGCAACATGAATTAATTTATTTTGGCTATTTGCATACTAGATATAAGGAAAGTATAAGTAAAAGTATAACAAGAACATTGACACTAGTTTTTAATAATTATTTTAAAAAGCATTCTACTTACCCCTTCATTGTTCAGAATATTAACCAGCAAACCATTTCCACATCCAAGATCTACAAATGATTGTTTCTTGGTCAACCCTTTCTCTTTTCTCTCTTCTTCCCAAAGAATCTAAGACAAGAAAACAGAACATATTAGACTTCTTCTCTCAAGTTGCCCTATAAGAAACCATCAAAGGTTATTGGAGATGATAGGAGAAAGCTGGAAATGCAGACTTGACAGAAAACATTCACTGCACTCACAGGTAAAATAACTTAAGGAAAAAGAAAGCAAAAAAACCAAAGCACTGTTTATGGAGTGGAACAAAAATTATTTTGCAAAATATCAGTAGTTTTCTAAGTGCTAAGCACATCGCCCACTCTATTTTGAGTCAGTGGGAGTTGAAATTCGTCGGAGCTTTACAACTCTGGGCTAGAATGAGCATAAAAGAAAAATAAGTTGCTAAAACAATGGGTGCAAGAGAGGAACAGTGGAAAGCGAGGGAAGTATCAAGTCAACTTCAGGAGTGTCGCTGCAAGTAACACCACAGATGCATTTATACCCACTGTATTAAAGAAAGCACTGATGGCAGAGCTGAAAATAAACCCCAAAATATTCTTCATAATCACTCAGTGATATACTGGTACATGTAACAACCCTTTTACTAACAAAGCAACAGTGTTACCTAGCAAGTTAACTGCTCCAAATTCTATACCAGCTAAGGGACCCCAAAGCTTTTACCAAATTCTAGTCCCTGACCTGTACATAAGTAGGTACTTTTATACATATATATTATCCATCATTAATAAGTGGCTGTTTCTTTGCAGAGCATGGATTAACCTTTCCCATCTTCCAACTCTGTTTCCTTCAATGACAAGTCAGAGACCACACATTCATAACTCTGCACTCTGATTTTTCACTATAACTACTAAAAATCCTGAAGAGTATTTAACTATGAAAATTGGCATTTGTAACATTGCCACTTTTGAATATCAGTTTTGCTAGAGGGAAAGAAACTGAAGGTAAATATAGTCTGCTAATCTCATGGATTATGTTTTTAGATTTACCAATCACTGCACTTTGGCTCTAGGCAGTATCCCAGAAATCCCTAATTACCTCCTTCACAGGTCCTACTTATCTTCTCATTCCTGCAGAGTTTTTCACAACACAAACTGAACAGCTTTGTCCTTGCCCATGCCCCTGGACAGTGGATGATCTCAATATGATTGCAGAACAAAATGAGGTCACATGTAGATGCCACAAACTAATAATAACTTAACACTGGACCTACCTTTTCTTAATCACCTGTGTAATGTACTTCTAAACAATGAGTTTCATATACCTGAACACTTTGCTGTAGGTTAGGTTATTAATACCATGCTTTGGGTTTTCATTTACGTAAGCTGCATATTAAATGACTTTTGTAACTTTCTGAAAACTACTGCTGTACTAGCCAAAACATGATCACTGTAAACCAACATTCACCTGTATAAAAATGCTATCATTCCAGAATTTTCTTGTGGCTACAACTAAATTTCTAATTTTCAACATTGAATATTAAGTTGGTGGTAAAAATGAGTCTATTACATAGCTCTTTCCACAAGCCAGTATCTAAGGTTCTAAGGGGCTAAATGTTTAATTATTAAAATAAATTAGTCTTCAATCATTCCTGTAAATGAGCTTTGGTAAGATGATGTAAATGATTTAAGTAAGGTGCTACAAGTATAGTTCAATGTAAACATGCTCTTACCACACCCTGGACAGCAAAAAAAAAAAATTTATGTGTTTGCCTTTTAAAAACCTGAAGTTTCTAAGAACTGCAGGCAGCAGAATTTTCATAGAAGCTCAAGCAGGTAGAAAACTTGAGAAAGTTTTCTTGGGAAAATGGCACCAAACATTTTTCTGCACTCCTAGCATTTGCAGTTGACCTTATTACACTTGAAGATGGGATTTGAGATGAAATTTTATACAGGAAAGGCACAACAGTGAAAAGTCGTAGGTTTTTATTTGTTCACAGTATCAAATGAATAAGTAATAGAAAAATTTATAAAACAATCAATCCTAATCTCCAATTGATCCATCTTATCACTTCTAGATTAGTGATTTTAGCTTTCTCATTTAGAAATAAATAAAACTTGTGCATGTAGGTGCTAAATTTCCTGTGACAGAAGACTGCAAATCATCATAACTTTATGATGAAGTTTTTGTTTATCTCTAAAATGATCATCTTTAAAGAGGTTCTATTATTAGGAAATACAACCTTACAGCATATTACTAGGTAAAGCAGTTTCCTACCAGCAAGTAAGTGGCAATGGCAACATCTTCATAAACAAATTTCTCAGGATCCGTCACTTCAGGCCACACCTTCGTGAAAAAAACAGAACAAAAAAACCAGATAAAAATTTATTTTCTGCATGATCAGAAATAACCTCAAAAAAGCTCAGACACAGTAATTTGAATACTTACTTCAGTAGGTTTCTGGACTTCACAGATTTTGCATTTTAACCTCATTAAAATATACTCAGAGAATATAAAGACTGATTCAATCAAACAAGAAGGTTTCTAAGAACATTTTGGCTCCACATGTACAGGTCACAAGTAAACAGTTTCATCTATTCTGTAACAGAACACTTTTGCTTATCTTTTGCTTTACTTTCTCACGAGAAAAGACCTTATCTATACTTCTGCAACACTGAGAACATGAACATTTGTAAATTTCTTTTCACAAGGGAACAGACCTATTATTACTCTGGCACAACAAAACACGAAGAATCAAAATCTGAAGTAGGAAGACAGAAAGTGCAAGTATTATTCCCAAGTGTTACTCTGTAAATGAAGAATTGAAACAAAGACTAAAATGCTCAACACCAGCAATTCTACTGCAGAACTAAAGATTGAATTGCTGCTTTACCTAAAACTCTAACTCTCCTTTCCTATGTATCTTAATGTAAGTGCAGAAATATTAACAGTAAAACCTTTCAGCATTTTCATTGTGTTTTACAAAAGCATTTACCAACTTTTTTGTTTGCAGCTAGAGCCAAATTTCCAAGAATACAGAGATTACTTCATACAGCACTCTGTTGCTCTTCAGGATAAGAAAAAAAATTTAACACTGCTCCTCTAATTCAAACACATATTAAGACAGTATCTAAAGGTTTTGGAGAAGGAGGTGTTTTATTTGCACCTTCTAAAATATGGATGACTATTTATTCCATTAACCTGCTGCTTCCTTTTTATCACAAGTGATACATTAGGAAAATGCCTAACTCCTCCAAGGACTAAACTGTTTTATTCTGCGTATATACAAAAAAAAAAAAAAAAAAAAAACCAAAACAGGAAATCAAAAAACATACATTATAATTCAATTGCTTCTTTTGCAAAAAAAATATAAAAAATAAAAAAAAACTTATTAAAACAAGCAGCTTTATTGCACAAAGTAAAAAAAAAAACAAAACAGAAGGCTAATATTACTGCATTTACTGCTAAACTTACCTTTACCATCTCTTTGTACTTTTCTTTGAGGTCCTGATAAACCTGGCTGTATTTTGCTACCGAAATGAGTGACAGTGTGCTTTTAAACTCACTGGGCTTTTGCTCCACAGACCATTTAGCCAGTTTGGACAAAAGTTCATTTCCAAGCCATGCTAGTTTGGGGTACACAATTCCATCTGAAAACCACTCTTCTGGAAATGGAGCAACAACAGATACAGACCTTAAAAACAAACAAACAAATAACTTAGTATAAATACAGTATTTCATTATTTCTGCTATCTCAAGGACAGAGAAAACAAGGATTAAGTGAAGAAAATCAGCAGATCAGAGATATAAAACCAGACTAGGGAATAAGTAAATATGTAGAGAAACAAAAGGAAAATAAACCAGTGAAGTTACTGAATAATGGAACAGTTCCCCCCGAATTTTGTTAGCTCATTATCTCTCAATTCAAACACTGTACATGAGAGTCTATGCTGCATTTAACACAATAAATGAGGACTCCTATGGGATGAGCAGCCTGATTTCACAAGACAGCCAAACACTAAATAGCGAAAGTCAACTTATGAAATTCCTGAAAAATAACAGGAAAATTTAGGAGAAAAATATATCCATTGTCATGACTCATTATTTCATAATCTCTAACTTTATTCAGATTTTATTAGAGCTATATCCCCAGATGATCAGGACAAAACTGAATGGTCTACATTTCCCTGACTGAAGCTCAGTGGGTTTATAGAAACTCCAGTTTGAACCTCACCCTTACTAACACCCACAGAACCTTTCTCACAGGCACTGCTACACCTCGTGATCAAAAGAGGGATATTTTTTCTAGACCACACACGGGCACAGTCAATGTTTACATTCAAAGGTGAAACAGGTTTGTTTTATGTTATTCTAGGTATTGTAGATGTTTCTTTTTAGAGAACACTATGCACTCTTATCACACCACTACTGTAATTTACTAATTAAGCAGAAAATCATAAAATCTAAATTGCCTACATACCGATACTAGACCACTGTGTGACTCTTGCAATAACTTAGTTTGCTTCCTCTCTCACGCCAACACTTACCATTCCTCATCTTTTATGTGTTTAAGTTGAATTTGATAAATATTGCACTTTTTAACCAGGTATTTTCCTTCACTGTTTTCCTCCAAAGGCAGAAAGGTCACAGTTCCATTGTAAACATCTGAAAAGATATGCAAATAGGGGGTTATTATTCCATGGTGCAACCCATCCTGGTTACCACCAAAATGAACTTCTGCCTGCAAACCACTGAGGTGAGATCTAAGACAACAGAGAAAGAACCACAATGCCAGGAATAAATCTGTTTCTTGGTGCACTTGACATCTGAAACTACAATTTGAATTCTCCAAATCTGGCATTCTATTGCACGATGTTTCCAAAATATCTAGGGCTGACCAGGAGTATTCCTTTTCATCAAACCTAACTATTTTTAAAAAGTAAAAACTAAACAATGAGATTCTTCTAGTATATGACTGCTGCTTTTCCATATCCCACAGCAAATCCAGAGTCCTGGGAAGCATGTATATGCAGTATTACTTCCTCTAAAAATTAAAAATCTTTTTCTATTGTTTACCCAGGGTGGTTTCTTCAGCATAATTTAAGTTCTCAGTTTTTAAAATATTTTTTTAATTACCATCAAAACAAATATTCTTGCAACTAAAAATGCTGTTCTGGCTACATAATCAGCTTTCAATGGATTCCAAAAATTTTCTGAGTTAGACAAGAAAGAATTAATTAGCAATAGAGCAAATGTTAAGTCTTACTATCTCGCCCATACTTAGCAATTCCACCTCTAACATTTTTTACTTGTAAATAAAATAATTTTAAAAAACCTCCTAGGCTTTTTCTTAGAGATATGCTCTATAGATGCAGCTGAGGAGCATCTTCCCTTAGCATCAAAAGAAAAAATAAGTCAGAACTGCAATATATTTTTTTTAAGGCATCAGGTAAAAATGACAGGCCTCAAGAACATCCCAAGTGTGCCCCATAAATAACTATCAGTCTTTCTGAATTGTAAGTGGACTTGTTTCTGGAACGCTGATCCTGTTCAAAACATTATTACTGGAAATTAATCCATATCAACACTTTTTTCCAAAATTTATCTTTAAAACAGTGTCAAGTTCTACCCTATATAAGTTTCTTTATATTGGCAGGATTTATTGCAGCATATTACCATCACACAGTGTAAAAAAACACCCCAAAGCATAAAAAGAAAACAAAACAAAGGAAAAAAACCTAAAAATCCCACAAAAACAACAACAAAAAAAAGAAGTTGAGCTACTTTCTTAAGCAACACTAAACATTAAGAAAGTCGATACAAACACTTGTGGCTACGCAGGTGCCACAGCTGCCTACCCTTTAATTATTTCTGCACTACGAGCAGCGTTTGTGCGTGGGCAGCAAACTCGTGACAGGAGCTCCTGAGTGCCGCAGGTCTTCGGCCTCTGTAATTTGTATTTTAACTTCTGGAACTTCAATACTTCGTAGTGCAACAACGAAAGCTAAAGATAAACCCTAAGCACACGATCGGGACAAAAGTCCATCTTCGTTCCCACACACAGGGGGTGAAAAAGGGGCATTTCTCTCATCTTCGAGACAACTTCTGAGGGGACAGGCCCGCGGCAGCCCGGCCTCCCGCCGCCCTCAGCGCCGCCCCGCTCACCTTGCACCGCCAGCTCCCGGCCCGGGGGCGCGGCGGGCCGGCCCCGGGGCAGCAGCGTCCTCAGCACGGCACGGAGCTCGCCCGGCCCGCCCCAGGCCACGAGGGGCGGCGGCAGAGACAGCTGGCCCCGCACCTCCCTCCAGAGCCGGCCCAGCTCCGCGGCCCTCGCCGCTGGCCCCTCCTGCGCGCCGCCATCCCCGCCCGCTCCCACGGCGGCGAAGCACGGAGATGTCTCCCCGCCCTCGCCGAGCGGCACCGTCCCCTCCGCCTGCACGGCGGCGCCGCTCAGCCTCCTGTTGGCCACCTGCGGCTTCTCCAGCCACACGCGCACGGCCGCCCAGAAGCCGCGGGGCAGCGCGGCGCCGCCGGGGTCCCGCACGGCCGCCGTCCCCACCAGCCCCATCCAGCGCCCGCTGCCGCCGAGCTGCGCCGGGAGGCGGAGCGAGTCGCAGGCTGCTACCGTCAGTTCCCGAGGCGGAGACGGCGGCGGCCGCAGGTACGTACAGGCACCCCTCGGCCTGGCCCGCGGCTCTGCGGCTCCGAGTGCCGCAAGAGATCGCTGCGGTGCCGTCCTGCGGCTGAAAACACGGGGAGCCGCCAGCTCCCAGCAGGGTGTGAGGCTGCAGGGTCGTCACCGCCTGGGCAGCTCTGTCTGGGGAGGGTCTGTGCCGCTGTGGCACCGGGTGTAGAAGAGCTGCGTGAAAACGCCTGCTGACAGCTAACTCCAGAGTGGGACAGCTGACTGACACCGCACAGTCAGCCCGGCCCGTCACGGAGACATCTCGGTGCGCTTTTTGTAGCGAATAGCAGCACGCTTTGTAGTCTGTTTTTGCCCTGTCTGAGCTGAGGCGGGGCTCGGCCGTGCGGTGAAGCCGCACAGAAGCGTTCGTGCCCTGCTTTACCCTGCCCGGGGCTGCCCTGCTCTGGGCGACTGCCAGCTGCAGATTGCTCGGAAATGCAGAGCCGCTAGAAAATAAAATAAAATAAAATAAAACACTGGTTATGTCATTTCTTAGCCGTAAGAGTACAGTATCATTATTCTTGACAGCTACCAAGTGTCTGAGCTGTGTCATTGTTCTGTAAGATAGGTGAGGGTAGTACCCTGCAAACTGACCTTTTCCCTCGTGATTCGTGACCCATTTTCGGTGCCCGGGTATGAATTTGAATTACTAGCAGGAGCACTTTCCACTGGAAAAACTTTCCATTTCAGCATTTCGCAGTGAAACTGCAGCAATTCTTTGCAAATTGAAAACAATGTGGTTTTTCCTTCCACTTTCACACACGTTTCAAAATTTCAGAGCAAAGCTGAAATCAACACTGAAGTTACTCTTTAGGGCAGCCCGTTGTTACTTTCCTATTGTAACAACCTGTTTTGATTTCTTAATTACTTTTGAAATTGTTAACTTGAAGCCAAATTATATTAAAACATTGCAGGAAGTCATAGAATTTGTAATGTATTTTAAGTACAGAACACTTCTTAAATGAACTCTTAGGTTTTCTCATTTATGTAATATCACTGATATGCAATGTAAATAGGGTTAGATGCAATAGCTGCAATATTACAATGTAATTTTTTTCACATTTATGAGCGAAAAGCCTCAAACTGCTGCCTGGTTTACTTATTTTCCAGTTAGAAGTGTAGTATCTGTTTATTTGGCTGGAGGTTGAAACACTTTCTCAATGTCTTTTTCATTTTTTTTTTTTCCCCTCTCTTTCCAAATCTGTTGCTCAGTACTGGAGCTGCATCTTTCTAGAACTGCTTTGGAAGTCGCATGCAGGAATACTCTCCTGCTGTTCTCTTCTACTATGTTTGTACTGTTTAGACCTAGAGGATGACCCCCATAAAAGGATGAGCTTGAAAGGAAAGAGAGGTATCAGGGAGACATATCAAGATGATGAGGGGAAAATAGGGGTGGAAAAAGCGGACTGCTGAAGTAGTTTCTGTACTTCATTATGTTCGAGGTCTCTACTGAGCCCTTGGCCAGCTCTGGGACAGGATGTCCTACCTATATATTTGAATTGCTTCTCTCAGCCAGTCCCGTTAAATCGTGGCCAGCTTCTGCTGCCCTGTCCGATGTTTTTTGCACCCTCCAAGCCCAGCAGAGATCTCTGCCGTCTGTGGTGGCAGGGATTGCTGGCTGTGCCGTGAGCAGCAGAGGGCTCACCAACACCAGCTTCTGGAAGCAGCAGATGATCAGCCTCTATTTCTCTGGGCCAGATTCTAGTGAAAAGCAAGATTCTCGTCTCTTGAACCAGTGCAGTTGCATCTACTGAAAGGGAAATCCTGCAGGGTCTGTTCAGTTTTGTAGTGCTCTTGCCTGACCCAGAGATGCACACAAGTTTCCAGCAGACTTCATGGGGCCTTAACTCCATTTGTTGTTTAAGACATGGTATTTGCTCACCTGGGCCTTTTATCACCCCCTTTCTTATCACAAGATATGGTGATAACCACTGGTGTCCCTGTTTCATATTTAGCTCATATTTTAATAACAAAGACAATTTAATTTGTTTACATTGAATCAAAGGCATTTTTTCTTACTTTGTATCAGGCCAGTTGAATTAGAAAAAGGGAAGGGCTAGCTTTTAGTTGCCTATGTAGTGCTATACTCATACATTTAAACAAATCCACGGATTTAATTAACCACTCTTTTAATTTATTTTTATAATTAAAAAACAGACATCTGTGGTGCTTTAGTTTGTGTTTTATCTTTTCTTGTTTGCTGCAGTTTAGCTAACAATGTCATCTACACTGAATCAGAAAGAAATGACTGGCAACCAAAATTCATGGGATAGTTTGTTACCAGACTTCCCTAGAGGCCCACTTTCCACATATCGTAAGAAAGCGTCCTTCAACTGGAAGGAGATGGCAGTGTTCATAGATGGTGAAGATGTTATCCAGCTGAAGGTAAATTTTCCAAGAACTGTAAGCATGTTTTGATTGTAGAGATATCAGTAGAAGTAAGTATGGGGTTTTTTTTAAGGGAGTATGGTTAATAATACTCTGTAAATATGGAGCATGAAGAAATTTGATTTGCAGCCAATTTTCAGAACAGAGCTGAAATTTTAAGCAATCTACTCTGCTGTCTCGTAAGACTCATTTAATTACTCAACATCAGTTCAGGGAAGACCAGCAGGTGCTACATTTCAGAACCTGAGTGTTCATTTCAAACGGAGAAAGAACTATATTCTCCCATATTTCTTTACTGTTTTTATTAAATCACAGAACCCATGGTTTTGCAAGGCACTTATGCAAAGCTAAGTTCAAGCCACTGTCAAACAATATTTCTGTCTTTGACCCAATTTCATACAATGTTCTGTGCTTGCATTAGTGCTTATGTGACATTACAATTGGAGATTAGCACGTGAACTTTGCTGAAAGCTAACCCTACCAAGAAAAGAGATTAACTTCAGCTCAAGAGATTGAAATGCACTTGGAGATATAGGAGGAGAAAGAATCAGCTTTCTGAAGGAGGCGTAGATTTACATGGATTTAAGCTAATCTTGAATCTTCACCATAATTATAAAAATCCTAGGAGGTAGATCAGAGAAATCAAAAAGGCCTGGTTCTGCATCTGACTGATGTGTGTTGGAGCACAGAAGAACCACAAGTGCTCTGAGTTTGAAGGAGTTTCAAAGCTGTGTGGGCATGTAGAGTTGTTCACACAGAGAAAGGGAATGATCCCTTTCAAAGGAAAGCACGGGAAGTCTGAGTTTCTTCCATCTTATGTGAAAGACAGTTAAGAAGATGTGGATATCTTGAAGACACAGCTCTGAGATAAAAAATACCATAATATAGTATATGCCATATATACAAAAAGGATCCAAATTACAGCATTAAAAGATGCACATCCCCACATTGAAGGGCTGCATATGATGGTTCCATTAAATTGAGCCTTTTTTAATTTCCATGTGGGAATGGAACAGTTTTGGTAGCTTAATGGCTTTACCATCATGGCATATTTCTAACTGAATGTAAGCCCTGGAGTTTTACCGTTATTCTCAGACTGAGGGACTTTTGCCCCTTAGATTCTGCCAGCAGCTTCATCTATTGAGACAGTGAAGTCTGCTATACAAAGCAAGTCAGTTTTACCATACTGTTCTTGTAGATTCAGAGTGAATCAGTGAATCACTTCATGGTGAAGGGGATGTCATAAAATTTAGCTGCATCATTTAAATATATTTTCTAATTCTCTGAAATGTTTGCTTTATAAGTTTATAGCTTCCACCCAGGGTTACTCTAGAAGAAAGTTAACTGTTTTTGTTAATGCTAATGTTCTCATGTCAGTTTTTTTTCCCTCCAAGAATAGAATCTTCTCTGCTCTGGAAAATGATCCTCTCTTTGCACATCATCCTGGAGAAGATTTGTGCCGTGAGAAATATCAGGAGCTGACATTCCTGCGCTGTAAAAGGCTCTTTGAGTATGACTTTCTTACTCAGCAAGAGGCGATGGAGAACCCATTGAGGGTTTTTAATATGATGCTCTCATTAGGAATGTACGATTGGTCTCTATGTATCCAGCTTTTCTTACATTGTGGTGTAAGTACAGTTCGAGGGCTGTAGTGGTGTATGTTTGAATATAAGTAACTTCTAGTACCGTAATTCTGTTGCTTTATGTCTATTTTATTAAAACTTGATCTTTTCCTCGTCCCTTCCTTTCAAAAATGGTATTGTTTAGAAGAGTCAGAGAGCTGTGGGTAATCTTTGTTGTTAAACCCCTGTCTCCACTGGGATCCCACCTGGAAAGTAAAGGTGAAACAGTACAAAGATACAGAAAAAAACGTTGATGTCTTCTTTTGTTTACTCTTCTGCCTCCTGTCTAGGGCAGCCAAAGAACTTGGTTGTTGGTGTCTGTGTGTTTGCTAAAGATTTGCAGGTATCAGAAACTTACATGCTTAAGCCCCAATGTCTTAATGAAGAGCAGAATCCAGAAGGAATGGAAAGCAGTTTAAAATTTCTCACTGACATCAGTGGCTGAATTCTGTTAATCAATTGTTTCCCAGATAGAGCTCTCACAAGGAATGCTTAACATAGCTGGTCATATTATCAGTTAAATTAATTATTTTTACTATTATTATTGTTATTAACATAGCTGGGGAGCATCTAGGAATTAGAGTTTTGTTGTGTGAATATCTATGTCGGAAAACTGAACGTAGCTTTCATATCAGCATTCTTGTTTGATCCTGAAGCAGTTGCCTTCAGCTCCAAATCTGTTTGCAGTAAAATTAAGTATTCCTTTGCTCAAGGGAACATCACTAAGGACAAGTGGAAAGTATTTTTGAGCATTTGCAATGAAGGCTTGAACAGGTTAGAGCTGCGACAAGTTCAGTTATCTGTAAAGGGACCTTGACAAGATCAAATCCTGACTTACCTCCCCCAGCTATAGTCTAATTGTAGTTTACTGTGCAGCACACCTTCCCTAGTCTCTCTACTGGACATCACTGTTAAAAATCATGTGCAATTCATGCTTTTCATCACAGGGCACTGATTTCATTTATTATTCTATTTTTACAGGTATTTGCAGGTCCAATTATGAGTGCTTCTAAGAGATTTGCACACATTTTGAAACAAATTTATAGCATGGAGGTAATATTTTTATAATAATTTGTAAGAAATTAACACTGTTAGAACTGTGTCACTGTTGGCAGTTTTGTGTTATTTCTGATCTCTTTGTATACCTAGGTACCACTACATAGCAAAAGAAAAAGCCATGGAGCAGCTTCAAGCATTGAGCTCTGACTGTCCTCACTACTAGCTCATAAACCACTTCCTGGACATGTTTTAGACTGTCCAAGTTAACACGCAGGCAAAATTTGGGAACTTTTCACAAAAGGCAATATAGATGACATTATACTAGTTTCGGTTCTGTCCAGAGTAATTTAAGAGTATCCTGCTAGGATACTCTCAACTTTGATGTGTTGCTATAAAAATTCTATTCTAATCCTTTAAAATGGAAAATAATTAATGCCAAAGGAACACCACGTGGAGTTCAGTGGGGACTCGGGACCAAGTGCCCTGCAGAATAAATACAGCTTGTCTGATACAGAAGGTGCCAATCCTAAACAGTTCCTCCAGTCTAGGCCATGTGAGCAGCATTCACTGTCTGGTCAGACCCTCTTTGATTTTGCAAGATAAATATTCTGAGTGCACTTAAACTGAGCTTTGTGCTTTTGTTGCTCTTTATTGCTTCCTGGTTTGTTTTGGGTTTTTTTTGCCAAGTTACTCTCCAATAGCTGAATTTGAAATAATCTGAAAGTCTTGCAGTTTTAATTAATGTAATATAGTGATCTTGAATTATGCCCTGTATCTCCTTATTTAGATTTTTGGATGTTTTGCTCTGACTGAACTCAGCCACGGAACTAACACCAAAGGCATACGGACTACAGCTACATTTGATCCTAGCACTCAGGTTAGTCCTTGATGCTCACTGTCAACCAGGTTTCCTTTCCATACCAAACGGTGGGAGAAGGAGTTGGTCCCTGCCATAGGCTTCAGCTCTCAAAGCTGAAACTGCTCTCTCAGTTCTTTACTTGAACTCATAGCTCAGTTTAGCCTAAGATCTAGGAAATGCTTCCCAGTCCATAAATTTGCTTTTTTTTAACTGCTTAAACAAGCAATTAAAACAGCTGAGTTTCAGACTTTACAATGAGGCAATGAGCTTTTTGAATTCTAAATTTTTTCCTTGTTACATGTGTTCTCTCCAAAGTTGAATACAATAAGAGAGATCTCAGGTGCTGGAATGCAGTACAGAATAAAATCCAGGCAGTTAATGAATTTTTTCAAAGCATTGCCAGGGTGATAAAAAATGGCTGTGACCTGCATTTTTTTATTTATATAATTTTCTTTTTCTTTCCTGGCTACAGGAATTTGTCATCAATACACCTGACTTTGAAGCTGCAAAGTTCTGGGTTGGTAATATGGGAAAACATGCCACTCATGCAGTTTTGTATGCCCAGCTCTATACTCCTGATGGACAGTGCCAAGGTTTACATTCCTTTATTGTACAGGTAGGCTGGAAATATTGCTAATCCTTTTATTCTTTTGTGGAAGAGTGAGTTCAAATTAAAGATTTTGTTACGATGTTATTTATACCTGACCAGCAGATTCTTTATTTAATGCCTTCACAGTTTATTGCAGTTGTAACCATGATGCTTTTTTTAAATGTCCACTTATTTTATGAAGGTTGTAGAGCTAGTTTTATACTGCCAGTTTTCTGCAAGGACTTCTGAAAATACAAAAGAGCTGAAAAGTCTCCAGATGATCATGGTACTTATATAGTTAGAACTCATCTGTGTTGTATGAAGTCCTGAAAGTCTTGCACGGGGCTTAGAATGATTTATGTCTGCCAATGCTGCAGGCTGATCTGCATGAAATCTGCAAACTTCTACCACAGAAATCATTTTATAAGATTAAAGACATTGGAAGATGTCAGTGCAATAGAAAACTTGTACAAAGTAAAATGAACAAGTTGCAGACTGAACAAAGTTTATTAGAGAATTGATGAATATCTCAAAGCTGATTGTTACATAAAAATTCCATTGGTTTCTGCTGTGTCTGTGTACACCTGAAGGAGGTTTCAGTGCTAGTCTGATGAGAGCAGTCATCAGTGTTAAGGGATATTTAACACAGTGATGTAATTAGTATCATCTTCCAAAGTAGTTTTCATTTAAGTATCTGAGAGGATGCATAAATACAAGTTTTTAAATTACAGAATTATGTGCTTGAAAGAAACAGAGAGATCTCTTTATCATTAATAAGTTAGGAATATTTTCAACCTTTGAAAAATTCAGCCAATAACTTTCATTGTTCCAATGCTGAAATGTTTTCACTTCTCTACAGATTCGAGATACAAAAACTCTCCTACCAATGCCAGGTGTGATGGTAGGTGACATAGGAAAGAAACTTGGGCAGAATGGGTTGGATAACGGGTAAGTCAATACATTTGAAAGAGAAAACAAGCTAGGTTATATCACAGTGCAGTGGTGCAAAGATCCCCCTGTGTCTGTTCTGTCTTTACTCCTGAAGTGTTCACTAGTGGTTTTAAATTGTTGCTATTTCTAAAAAAAATCCCCCAGACTAAAGGATCTTGAATTTCAGTACTTTCTATCTGAATAAACAGCCTTTCAGCCTTTCTCACTCTTTAAAATGTGAAGTGCTCCTCATATTCTGTGAATATCCCCAGGCACTCTTGCAGCTATAGACTCTTCAACAATAATAATGGAAAAAAATCTAGTAAGTTCTGAGTAAAGAACTTTATCAACCTCTGCACCCATCTGGGTGTAAGACTTTAATTATTTTATCTCTTGATTTCAAACCCACAGGAAGGCTAGTGGTGGTCCCCAGACAAGATTTCTTTTCAGTAAATACTGACGAGCCCAAAGATAGAAACTATATATCTTTTTAAAACCGTGGGATTTCTAGACTGCACCTAGAAAGAGACTAGATATTTTCTTCTGTGTAATGTATGTACAGTTGAAATAAAAAAAGTACTCGGCTCCGTTTCTTATTCATGGACTCCAAGGGCCTTTCTGTGTCTACTTTACTAACCAGAGGTGTCTGATGGGGAGGAAATAGAGTCAGGAAACAGAAGTAGATTTCTGCATTAAAACAGTCATTATGTAAAAATCATTTAAACTCTTGCATTAGTTACATAGCTTTGCATAAAGACATAAACTTTATATGGTAAAGAAGGGTTTCACTTCTTTATGCCTCAGATTTTCTTCTTTCTGTTGATTCAGTTCGTTACAGATTTATGTGTTGTCCTTCAAAACAGACGATTGCAGTAAACATATAAATGCAGTACAGACATCTTACAGTGTCCTGGTTTCAAATATTATGACTTTGATTGTCTTTCCAGAAGGTTTTAGGAATTTTATGGTCATTTAGCTCATTGTTATCGATTCTCTGTTTCCTGAAGATGTAGAAGAAATAAAGTTTAAAAACCTGAAACAATCCAAAATTAATTTATATAGGAGAACTGGAAACTACTTGGCAAAGAGGGATGTTTAAGGTTTGGTGGGTATTTTTTCCTGCTTCTGCATTACAGACTAGTAGCCACCAGATGGCACAGCAGCATAGGCCTGAATAATCTAAATGTTTTTCAACTTCATATTTCTGTAGAAGTGTTTAAATTCTGGTTTTCATTCTTATTGCAATATAGATTTATGTGCAACACGGGAAAGAATAGTATGCTTGTTATGTGACCTTAAAATGTACAAAATTTTAAATCAAATTTTCCATTATCTACTTGGAAAAAATAGAGTATTTCTTAAAATATTGGTAATAACTGAATAATTGGAAATTATAATCCATAAAATGCCCTTTAAATGAGATACAGTGACTTCCTATCTTATTGTCAGATGGAGTCTCTTATCTTATTTGACATCATATGTCATTTAAAGCAGTCATAGGGCATTCCTGTTTACTTTGTATACATCGTTAAAAAAAAAAATTATTTTGTTCAAACTGTAGTGCCCAAAAAGCCCCAGCCATGGATGTAAATCTCTAAAGTATGCATTAAGACAGTCCCTGCATTAGAAACCTGAAGACAGCACTTGAAGATTAAGAGAGAAGGATGAGAGGAGCCCAAGGTTACCCATAGATACTCCTCATTTAGCTAAAAAGTCCAGGGGCCTGTGTTTATGAACTACCTCAGCTACTTTTTTTTGGAGGAGGTCTAAGATTAGAGGCAGGCCAATGTTGTTTTCAAGAACCAGGGAACCAGGTTTTGTTCTGCAACCTTCCTGCTCACACTGAGATGTGAGAAGTGACAGGGCTTGTGGATGTCAGCTCTCAGAGGTACACGAAGGGCTGGATGGGGACTGGAGAGGAAGTTCTGCATTTGTTTGCAGAGGCAACAAGCCTTGCCACCCTAGAAAATGGACTCCTGGTTGCATGATCTGCAGAATTCCAGGATCCACAGGGAGATATTTCACCGGATACTGTCAAGGTGTTCTCCTTGGCTGTTTATTAATCTTACATCCTCATTTATCCCAGAGAAAGCATGGACTTGTATGTGGAGAGGAGAAAACCTTCCCTTATGCTGTGACAAGTATTAGTCTCCACTACATGCATTGCCAGGTTTTGTTGAATGTGTGTGTGAAGTCTGGTTCAACTAGCATGAACACGTAGTAAATCAGGTCTATTTCCATGTAGTTACACTCAGGGTATGTGGTCACAGTGGGGATCAGAGTCTGACATCTCTGACAGAGATGTTTGATTTTGTTCCTGTGCTTCAAGAAATTTATGCTAATAATTTTCAATATGGACACAGAGAGTTAAGTTCCTGAACACTAATGAAGGTCATGGGGAAGAAATTCCAGAGTCTCCTTGGAAAATGCTATTGATTTATGCTGTGTAAGAAAACAGAGTAGTTGATTGTAGTTGTCCATTCTGGCTTTGCAGAACAATTAATCTCTTGTTGTTTTGCTGAAAGCTGGTTTCCTGCTAATGGAGAGTGTAATGTTTTTAGTAAGAGAAAAATTTTCAGAACTAATGTGGGAATTTTTGTAGTGTAAATCCATTTCTAAAATTATCTTTCCAAATAATTCTCATAGTTTCATAATTTGACTGTCCAAAAATCACATGGTGTTTGCAGGTCTTTCTCACAGAATCACTAGAAGAGACCTTCAAGATCATTGAGTAGTACAACCCATGCCCTAACACCTCAACTAGACCATGGTACTGAGTGCCACATCCAGTCTTTTTTTTTAAACACTTCCAAGGATGGTGACTCCACCACCTCCCCAGGAAGATCATTCCAGTACTTTATCACTCTTTGTGTAAAAAACTTTTTCCTCATATCCAACCTATATTTCCCTTGGCACAGCTTGAGACTGTGTCCTCTCTTTCTATGAGTTGCTGCCTGGAGAAAGAGACCAACCCCCACCTGACTACAGCCACCTTTCAGGGAGTTGTAGAGAGTGATAAGGTCGCCCCGGAGTCTCCTTTTCTCCAGGCTGAATAACCCCAGCTCCCTCAGCCATTCCTCACAGTTTGTGTTCCAAGCCCCTCACCAGCCTCGTTGCCTCCTCTGGACACACTCAGATATCTCAACATCCTCCCTGAACTGAGGGACCAGAACTGGACACAGCACTCAAGGTGTGGCCTCACTGGTGCTAAGTACAGGGGAAGAATGACCTGGCCACAGGAGCATTCCTGACACAGGCCAGGATGCCAGTGGCCTTCTTGGCCACCAGGGCACAATGCTGGCTCATGTTCAGCTGGCTGTCAGCCAGTACCCCCAGGTCCCTTTCTGCCTGGGCACTGTCCAGCTACACTGTCCCCAGCCTATAGCACTGCAGGGGGTTATTGTGGCCAAAATGCAGGACTCGGCACTTGGACTTACTAAACTTCATCTTACTGGACTCTGCCCATCCATCCAGCCATTCCAGGTCTCTCTGCTGAGCCCTCCTACCTTCCAACAGATCAGCACATACTCCCAGCTTAGTGTTGTCAGCAAATTTACTAATGAAAGACTCAATCTCCTCATCCATGTCATCAATAAAAATATTGAACAGGACTGGCCCCAGCACAGACCCCTGGGGGACACCACTGGTGACTGTCCCCAGCTGGATGCAGCACCATTCACCAGCACTCTCTGGGCCTGGCCATCCAGCCAGTTCCTAACCCAGCACAGAGTGCTCCTGTCCAAGCCGTGGGCTGCCAGCTTTTCCAGGAGTGTGCTGTGGGACACAGTGTCAAAGGCTTTGCTGAAGTCCAGGTACACAACATCCACAGCCTTTCCTGAATCCACCAGCCAGGTCACTTGGCATAAAAGGAGATCAGGTTGGTCAAGCACGGCCTGCCCTTCCTAAACCCATGCTGGCTGGGTCTGATACCCTGGCCATCCTATAAGTTTTGCATGATGATACTCAAGATAAGCTGTTCTACATGTAACTTTAGCTGCCCTGACAAAAAAAAAAAAAAAAAAAAAAAAAAACCAAAAACAAAAAACAGACAAAATCACTGTAAAATATTCTAAAATACTTTTCTTTCTCTAGGAAATTTATGATAGTTAGTGTAATCAATGCATAAAGGGGTAAAAATAGAATTCTGGTTTTTTCTTATGGAGAGTTTAGACTGGTTTTGTGTTTTGTTAGCGAAGTTAAATTAGACTGCCACCAGGGGATGCAAATGCTTTATTCTTTATTTTATAATATTAAAATGTTCACCTGTTGCTATTGCTCTGTCCATCTTTGAAATATGCTGCTCACTGAGGACCCAAAATGGTACTGGCTGAGGAAAAAAAACAACTAATGAAAAAATCCCTGAGTATCTGGGATTTCAGGGACTTCTCAGTAAAATGTGTGGCAGGCATAAGGATTGGGGAGGTGACACACACATAAAACAAGAGCTGCGCTGTGTGTGGATGTGCATTTCTGTTTCTTTCCTTTGGTGTGGGGTTTTTTTGGTGGGGTTTTTGTTTTGTTTTGGGTGGGTGGGGGAAGGATGTGCCTTAGGTACTGGAACATTGCCCAAATTACCCACGACTTCCGTGCACATCAGTGAATGATTCACATCACACTGTACTGGTGGTGAACCAATTTCATGTCCCGTTTTAACTACCAGCAAATTTCTGCTTTCCCCTCTCTAGAGATGGAAATTATGCCCAATTGAGTCTTCATGGGGAAGAGTGAAAATCGGCTATAATTTTATTTCTGAAGTGGTGCTTACCATGCCTGTCTTTGTAAACCATGTCTGACCTCATTAGGCTGTGCCCACTGATAACATGTATATAGTTTGCTGAGGAGATAAAACCTTTTGTAAGGGAAGAACGAGAGAAATGAAACTGTCATTTTACCTTAAATCTTTGTAGAGGAGAAATGGGTCTTTCTGGAGGAAGAATTGTTAACTGAATCCAATGATAATTGTGGGCTTGGGAAAACTGATGGAGTTTGTTAGCTGTTTAACAGCCTTTCCTGTGCAA